GCTGCGGGCGCTGGCGGGAGCTGCTCTTGCTCTGCAGGCAAGCGCGCCACCTCGGAGACATAACCCCCAGCCGCATCATCGCTAATCAGCCCTTAATTACAGGTGTGAACGAACGACGGCGCCTTTTGCAGCCCCTCCTCCGGCTGCGCAGGGGGATTCCGTGAAGTTTCATAGAGAGGGGAAGGGCGAGTGATTCACTGCAAGTGGATTTCTCGAGGTTCAAAGATCGTTTGGTACCAATAGTTTACTATTATTTGCAAAAAGAGAAACACCTTGATTACATAGATTAACCTCTGCATCTGTGTGTTTGTGCGTGCGCACGTGATTTCATTTTGGGAATTCTGTCGCAAGTCTCGTGTCAACCTTGCCATTCTCGAACCTTTAACTAAGTCACTGTGATGATTATCGTAAATTTTATTAAATCATCCTGTTTATTGGCTGATTAAACAACGTTAAATATCAGACAACACAATCCTGTGATTTTCCGTAAGCATCAATAAATGTTAAATTGCTGCTATCTCAAAGTTGTGTAGGATCCTAAAATTGCTCATTGGCGACAAATTGGCATAGTTGGCAGGATCCCAAATCTAAATTGCAACAACCTCCGAAGCTGGGGTTCCCCGCGGGCAGCCCCTCGCTTTGCACCAGCTTTACTGAGCACGTCAACAGGGCTCCAAGGCCAGTGGGGACCTGCGGGCGCTGCATCAGCATCCTTGGTCCAGCGGCCATCCTCAGGGGTGCGGAGGTGTCCCCTTGGCCGGGACGGGCAGGAAGAGGCCGATAATGGTGTCAGTGAGCCATGCTGGGCAGTAGCTGAGGGGCAGGAGGGCAAACCGGGCGTCCCAGCCGGCTGCGTACCGGCTGCGGGGGAAGCGGGCGAGCAGCGCATGTTCCATGGCGCCGGTGACTGGGGAAAGGCAGGAGCTGCTCAGGCGGTGCAGCAGGACGGTGCTCTTGGCATCTGGGTGGGCAGAGGGGGGTCAGTCCGGCCCGCCGGCGGTGGTGGGGTCACCGGGAGGGCTGGGGTCACCGGGGATGTACTCACAGGTCTCCAGGTAATGGCGGCCGTAGGCTGCCTGGGTCTCCACTGGGAGCCCCTCCCAGAGGCGCTCAAAGCCCTTCACCACCGTCGCAGGGTCGGTCATCCCCGTCCGGAAGCCGCCGGGTTCAATGATGGAGACCTGCACCCCAAAGGGTCGCATCTCGCGCCTGGGGAGGGGGAGGGCATCAGCCACACAGGGCGAGGGAGAGCCCATGACCCCCTCGGGCACTCCGTCGTCCCCGGGCGGGTGCAGGGGAGCCCTCTCCTCCTTGTTCGAGGGTTTCTTGAAACCCCTCCTCTGGTTGCACAACTGCTGCTCCAGCTGTGTCCCCATTTCCCAACCTGTGGGTGACCATGTTGGTGTTTCACAAGCCCCCACCCTGGCTCACTGCTGCTTTCCTCTGCGGGGAAGGACGTAACCGGGTGCAACATAAAAACCTGCGCCGGGAAAGTGGGGCAGAGCCGCCCAGCACGCCCGCACCTGCCAACACGCGCTGGACGAGCCTTGGGATAGGGGAGCACCGGGGGTCTT